GTATGCATTCCTTTCAATCCATCAATATACATTGCAATACTGCCTGCAAACTCACCATGAAGACTAGATGGGTCTAGAGTCGCATCAGGTGTCATGCTCCAGAAAAGCAATGCATCTCCCATCTTCGGCTTCACAGACAGCCCTCCTTTCCCGCACTCTGACAACTCGTTCCACCACGGCACTGCGCTATAGTTTCCCTTGGCTGCAGGAAACACTGTTTCACCACCCTCCTCAACATCTGATCTGCACAGTGGCTTGGAAACATTAGAGAAAGAACATCTTATGGAAGGCCCAAAGTTTTTCAGTTACATACAGGTACATAAGAACTGTGGCTATCCGCTGGCCCCCATTCCTAGTGTTATACTCATCCATGAAGTAATCATAATGAGGCTCATACTTTTGCCCTATTTCATAATGCAGAACTTGTAGACCTTCCCCATGCTCTACATATTGTAGCATCAATAGAACCAGTCAGATTCCCGAAAAAAGGTCTGTCTAAGAAATCTAGGGAGAAACGGGATCACGAAAATGTCAGATATCAAACCTACCAACTGGTATGAATGTGAAATCTGATATCCTTTTCTCAATTTCGCGGATAGTTTTGTCGCGTCCTCTTGGGAGAAATGTCCCTGAGCTGGTTCGCACCCTATTGGAGGGGGTTGGGGAGTAAGTGAGAAGACAGTTAATATGCATTGAGTGAGAAAAGTAAGAAACCTGCTATCTGTGCTCTTTCCAGTCTTCTGATCAACGACTGTTGACTTCTCCATGTGTGGTTTAGCTAGCTCTATTAGATACTTGCATTCCTCCTTGGTCTATCCAGAAACCCACACATGAAAACAATCCAGTTCCGGGGAAGGTAAGCAAATCAAATCAACACTTATCAATTGAGTAGTTAAATTCACAACCTTGCTATTTGCTTTCTAACCACAATCAGTTCTGCTATCGTCCTTACAATAATCATATCTATAAGGAATCAATAAAGATCACTATCTAGACGTGCAAGTATATACTGGAATTTCAGACAGAAAATAGATCTTAAATAGATTCTGTAAATCACCAAGAAATTGTGGTAAATAGAAGCCCTTGGCTCCCAGGAGATGATTTCAACCCAACGCTCGTTCTCGTTCTGTGAATCATCCTCACCACTTCTGCGGAAAAAGAAAAGTTCCGATAAATATCGGGCGATCTCTTAGCACATACAGTAAAATGACCATTAAATGGGTACCTCTGAAGTGTTTTTCGGACAATGGAAGTGAGATCATTGGGTTCAGAGGAACCGACATTGTTGCTGGGCACGGAGAGAATTCCAAACGCAAGAAGAAACAAAATAACGAAAGTGAACATGATCAATACCGCGAAGACGAGCGTCGAATAAGAAGATGATTTCCGAGCTGAAGAGCGATGATGATTCCTCTGCCTTGGCATCATATTTGCAGCGGGCGGATTCAAGAATCGATCGCCGACCCAGCAGCCAGATTAGAAAAAACAGAAATGAAGCAGCAAGCAAGATCCTCTGGTCGATTGACTTATCAAACGAACCTGGGCCAGGCCCATTAGATACAGAGAGGCTTTTCAATCAAATAGGCCCATTAGAGAGATGCTGTTCAATCAAATAGGCCCATTGTTTGTTGTCCAATACATCCGACCCGACCGGCAGGAGAGGCAGAGAGTTTCCGATAATGCAGCTCGCCA